TCAATTTATAAGTAAGTCAGTAAAAATTTGTTTTCGTGTTTGCATTTTTAGATGAGTTCTGATCATTTATTTAGTAATTTATGTTGGTATCAGAACGTAATTATGGGTATTTTCTCTTTATTAAGAAAATCTTTTATATGAATCTTTTCAGAAAACACATGGTTCTTTTAGTTTATGAATTTGCAGTTACTCTCCTACTTCAAAAGATAATAGCATTTTGGGAAGATACTATTAATATAAACAAAACCTAAGTTTGGGATTTAGGCATAAACCACATGGCTCTTTTTGTTTAAGGTCACTCTTCTCTAAGGATATAAATAAGCCTAAAGAAACCCTGATTTTAATTTCTCAGGACCAAGAAGTTTGGACAACACATTAATCAATTCTTCTTCTTATCCGAGGGAAAGGGATAGGATGAAGAAAATTTGATTTTGCTCAATTTTACTTAATCTTGGCTAGTCATTTCTGGTTTTGATTCTCTTTGGAACCTTTCTTAAATTTATTTTATTGTTTAAAACATAATTATTAAATTGTTTCTTCATTGATCTTTCAACCATCTACTCTTTAGAGAACTTTAATAATTATTATCCAATTAGTAGTCCCTCCAGATCACCATCTATGAATTTTATGCAATTAAACGTTATATCATTAAGCCAACACTTTTCATTTGATTATACAGATTTTAGATCAAAATTCAATTCATTACTATAGTTCAGTTAACTTCCAAGACAGCTGAAATTCCAGAAGGAGTGATCATTATGGGACATCTTGAGGGCAAGAGAAATAGGGGAAGGCTGCAAGACACTTACCTGATGAGCTTGGGTGACTGAATGGTGGAATGATGGTGTGGGAGTCTTAGCAAAGCGAGAAAATCTGATAAGAGCCATATGAGATAGGATGTTGTGGAGAGCCATTATCACCTATGTCCTGAATGGGTGCAGCACATAGAAGAGATGTTCCAAATTTTTGCATTTGAATATTACCCCTTTTTACATTTTCCAGTGATAGCAAATTAGTGTTTTATTTGATTGGCTTAATACATTGCTTTTATATATATATATATATATCACTTTCAACCTCTCTAACAACACTTTCAAACCGTTTCATAAAGAAAATCAAACACCCATTTATATTAATGCCAACTCAATTACTCTAACTCAATAATCAATCAAATCCCTAACACTAGAATTAATAGATTATTGTCTAACAAAAAAATATTCAATGGGAATAACTTATAATGAAGCCTTCAAAAAAAGTAATTTCAAACAAAAATTGGTTTACCAAGAAACTTTGAAAAGCAATACAACTAAAAAAACCAAAAACAGAAAGAGAAAGACAATATGGTTTAACCCAGCTTTCTGTAAAATATCTAATATAAATATTGGCAGATATTTCCTAAACTTAATTGATAAACATTTTAACCATAATAACCTCCTAAGAGAAAAACTCTAAAAATAAGTTATTCCTGCACTAACAATATACACAGTATTATTAACTCACACAACAACCTATTATTAAAAAAAAATATGACAGTAAAACACCAGAAAGCAAGCCTCCTTATAATTGTAAAGCCAGAACTAACTGCCCAGTTGAAGGCAAGTGTAACTCTGAAAATGAGGTATTCAAAGCTACCATTTTCCCCAGAAGAAAATATCAATGACAAAAAGTATACTTGTATACTGCGAGTTGGAAGCAGAGATTTTACAATCACCTGCATTTCTTCTCCAATGCCTCTTTAAGATATCAAACTGCTCTATGCAAATATTGGAATCTTAAAGATGGTGGCTTCACTCCTACAAATCAAATGGAGTTTCATCTGTCAATCCCAGACTCCCAACAACTTCCAGGACAGATGTATAATGGAAAAAATCATAATGATTAAGTATAAAAATGCTAAAGAATTATTGAATCAATCAATCAACTTATCTTCAAGTGTAGACACAAGAACAGATTTAAAATTTCCTAAAATCTTTGATTTTGGAGAATTTACCCTTGAAATGTTGATTCTGTTTTATATGGGTACTAACATATATACATACATGTATTCACATTTTTGTATATTATCATTGATGTAACTTTCTTGCCTACATCAGTTATAATAATCTTAAATTCTAAATTATTTTATATTAATTTTTGATATTATCCTTATTATTTTATTATTATTTTTATCCTTATATGTATGTGTATATGTGTATATATATGAGCGTGTGTGTGTGTATATATATATATATATATATATATATATATATATATATATATATATATATGTTTATTTTTAGTTCTTTATTATCTCTTAATTTATTTAATTAACATTTTTATATATTTTTTACATTTTAATTTTAATTTAACTCTCTTTATTTTATTGATGTCAATTATTATAATTATTAATTTGAAATTGTGATGATTATAATGCGATGAAGCTGTCGATGTATATATATGGGATGTTAAAACTAGAGGAGATGAGAGATTTACTATTATATCATCAGCATAGATATTCAGAAATACTCTTATATAAATTATTTTACATAAAGTAAAAAGAAGTTTGATCTGAGAACCAACCCCTGGGGGATGCCTGTGTTAATTGCTAGAGTCCTGGAGTACTGGCCATTAGCAATTGCCTTCAGGGAGCTACCCATTAATTTTTTTTTAAAATTGAGAAGTCACTTCCAGTGATTCTATAAGAAAGCTTGAGCAGCAATCCTTTATGTCACACCTTCTCAAAGGCCTTTGAAATGTCTAATGCTATAGTCCTTGAGATGTATTTGTTGTCTAGTGCTTCATTGATTCTATGAGTAAAGGGAGTTAGAACGTCAGCAGTGGACTGGGCTGATCAAAACCTGTACTGTTTGTTGCTGAAGAGGTTGTTCCTATTTAAGTGATCATCAACCTTCTTGTTGATTAAAGCCTCAAAAAGCTTGCAAATGATACTGAAGAGACTGATGGGTCTATGCTGAGAGGTGGTGAGCCCTCACCCATGTTCTTGAAACTGGGCATATGCTTGACACCTTCCACAGGCGTGGGATGGATTTCTCCTTCAAGCAGCAGTTAAATAATTTTGCTAAAATCAGGGATAGTTCTGGGTTGATATTAAAGACAACCACTGGGATTTTGTCAGGGTCAGTTGCTTTCTTAGGTTCAAGACTTTTGAAAAGTCTTGAAACTTCCGGGGATGTAATAAAAATTACTGAGATTGTGCTTCATGGGGAAATTCATAAAAAGGATGCCCTCTGTCTTCTAATGTTGAATTAGAGGCAAAGATTGAGGTGAAGAGCTTTGCTGTGTGATTATTGATGACCAGTGGTTGAAAGACATTTGTATGTAAAGTGGTTTGTCATTGGGTTTTCTATCTAAAATTCTCAAAATGTGTATGTATGTATGTATGTATGTGTGTGTGTGTGTGTGTGTGTGTGATTGGATGTTTTTTATGCATTTCCACAGTTTTCATCTGATTTCAATGAAATTTTTTTTGTTTGATAGATAATTCTTCAGTGTCAGTTTTGAGTCCAAATTGGCTGGAAAAAATTACAACTGGAAGGTGAAAAATAGAAAAACTTGATTTTTTACACTTTGTGCAAAAATCAAAGGCAAAATTTAATGTCTGTAAAAAACAGCATACAATCAATTTAGAGAGTTGAAATTTCACACAAAAGATTATTAGAATTATAAAAAAAATTATATTATAAATAAAAACTATCATGTATTATTATGATGGTCCATGGAAGAGGTTCCTTCCTTGCAAGATTGAGAACACAAAAACGGCCCTTTTCAGGGCCACCTCCCATTCAAATTGTTAAACCCCCATTTGGGGATGTGCCTTAGTTGCACCCAATTGTTGTTACTAATACTGATTTTTGGGTGGGCTGACTTTAGACTTCAATTGAATGGTAAAAATTCCCAGTAATGAAACACCCAGTCAAAGACAGGTTATACTGCTAGTATGGTTGATATATACCTTTTCTTAGATTGAATGTAACATCTCAAATCTTCTTTTAGGTTAGTTTTTATGTCGGTTGAATCCCATCTTTTTTAAAATATTTATGATTATTTTTCTGGTTTTGTCTGTATATATATATATATATATATATATATGTGTGTGTGTGGTTTTTTATCTATGTTGTTGAACTTTTTTACTGCTTGCTATTTTCTCGTGATTTACATTTCAGAAGCAATAAAAATTGAAGTGAGTGATGGGAATCAGAAACTGATTAGTGAAATTTTGACTTAGAAACAGATTAGATCACTTGAAATCTCTGATTGCAAGCAAAATGTCTGCCATGAGGACTGCTCTTAATATGCAACAGTCACATGCTGGCCTGATGAGTGTCCTTCCTTAGAGAAGGAGATCACTTGAAAATCAGTCAAAACTGAAAAATACAAGTATTTGTAGAAAAGAAGGGATTCTTCTCCTACTGTCATATCATTAAATTGGGCATAAGACTTTTGGATGATCTCTCATAATTTTGTGAAGATATTTTTTACGGATATCTCAAAGCCATCTAAATTTTGAAAATGTTTTTATATCATTCCCCAAAATTAGAAAAGCAACATTAAAAGGGCACATAATTATCCTTGTCTTTGAAAAATGATGGAGCAATTCATAAAATTGAAATTCACAACCAGTTTGTAAATTTCTATTTCCTAATTTTGTGAAGATTACCTTTCTCTTTACATTTTTTTTTTTTTTTTACTGATAATTCAAAGCCATCCAAATTTTGAAAATGTCTTTATATCATACCCAAAATTTCTATTTCCATGGTCAACATTGTCAATTACAGATTTTGAATTGTTTTTCTTTTTTTTAAATACTGCTTTTAACATATAAAACCAGATAAAAAGAACAATGATATTCAAATGAATAAAGAGACAAACAGTTGTAGATGACGTACAGGCAGAATGCTGTTTTGGTAAATATGATCATCAAAGCATGAAGGAAACTGGTTATAATGAAGGTGAATTAATTTGAATAAAGAAGGAAAAAAATGAAGACATAAACAAATTACCTGACAAGAAGGAAGTAGATTTCAGGTCTTGTAGAAATTTCTTTAAATAACATAATGAATTCCTCGCTGTTCAGCCGACCTCTCGTACCATCACCACGATTAATCTGCAGCTCCTAAAAATAAAAAAAAAAATCTCATAGATAAATAATTGTGTGTGCACATATATATATTTTAGGAGAAAGAAGTCTTAGAAAATGTTTTTGAGTGACTTGTTTTGTCCTTTAGGATTCTATCAGACGAATTTTATATTTATATTGATGCACATGAATAAAAGAAAGACATTGAGAATTTTAAATTTAAAAATAAATTTTCATTTTTTAATATGTGTTTTGGATATATAATCTAGCCAATTTCAATTAGATTCTTTTTATTTGTTATTTTTATTCTATTATATATATATATATATATATATATATGTATTTATTAAAGACATTTTTATGTTTAACGTTCTTTTTTTTATAGATACAAGTATTTAAGTAAATGCTCTGTTTATAATAAACAGTATTAAATAACATTTACCGGCCTGAATGTCTGAGAAATTTTCATAGAAAATATTCGTCCTTTGAAATTTATATATATATATATATATATATATAATTTGGCAGCAATTTTTCATTCCAGTAAGTTATTTTATTAAAAACCACAGCTGAGAATTTTTATTATATTTTGCTGTTTTCTCTTGTTTTTGTCAAAGATAACAGATTATTGGCCCCCATATGTTTGCTGAAAATGTCCATGTGTATATGTTCTTACACTTTCATCCTTCATTAGTTATTTTCAAGCACAAGAAAACTCATGTATTTGCTTAATCTTCATGGTGATTTTATGTTTAAGCAGTTTCAGATGACATCATCAACAAGAACATTTGATTTCAATATATAATGCCTAGAACATCATTGTTATCAATGAAATTGCTCTAATACACTTTTAAGATTGTGTGGGCACAATGTCAATGGAATTGCTCAAAGAGGCATAGGTAGAGTCAGTATATGACCTTGGATTTGATATGGAGGGGTAAGTAGCTTTGAATACTTTATTCTGTTTTCAATGGTTTCTTTTCCACATTTATGTAATATACTGAAGGCTTGATTAAACTTGATCAGTTAGTTGTCTATTTCTCTGTGCAGCCAAGTGTCAGACTGGCCATGTAGATAAAATTCTGAGCCACTTCTGGCTTTGCTGAACTGACAGAGACAATGGAAGGTACATAATACTTATGGAATGGAGCAGATTGATGAAAAGCGGCTATCTTTTTAAAGCTGACTTCCAGGTCAAAGGATTCTGTAGCTTTTGTTGAGCATGACTTTTTTTTCTTTTGAAAGGGCTGCTTCCGAGAATAATCAGAGTAATTTAATCTGTGAATGGTAATGATAATATTAGCTGTTTTCCTACAAGGAAACATTTGGCATTCATTGACCAAGCAGCCAAAACTTTTCAGTTCAAATTTATAAAATCTTTCTCTTAAAAAGTTTTTTCAGGAAAACTGGTTTCTCAAATCAAGTAGCCTTTATTGCTCTTTCCAGTATTAATAGGTTTCCCTTCTGAACACTATCTGAAGTGATGTGGAATGTTAACATCTTGATTATATCATCATTTTCTCTTCAAGTTACATGTGCTATCCTTTTGAGTTGTTACTGCTGTTGGTAGTTCTCAAGTGATGTGGTTTCTGTTATTTGGTACAGTTCTTTGTGATTCTGTAGCATCAGTCCACAATGTTCAAAGAAGGATGATCTTTGACAAGACTCTCTGGCTTTACTCGCTCAACCCCTTTTTTACCATTGATCTCAGGAAGCAGTTGAATGGAAACTCTGATCAGCTATACTGAGGTCACAGTGTGGACCTTAAGATGCTTTAAGTTGAACGGGTAATCCTTTTGGCATGAGCTGATATACATGTTACTCATATTATCTGTCTCTGGATTGATACAACATAATGCTAAAGATAGCATAAAGAACAAATAGGAAATGTTTATCAATCTAATTACTTACTATATTATTAATACTTGATATAATGCAAAAATATCACAATGATAAAATTAGTCAATAATTATTTATAACTATTTATACTGGGATTCATACATGCAATTACAAGTAATCCATAATAATATTTTCAATTTACCACCTGCTATCCTCTTCCACTGCAGCGTTTGGAAACCACTGGACTAAAGTAATGTTCTTAGTGGAATTATATAGATGTAGGAGGTGGGTGAGATATACTGAAAACAGTGTTGTGCCTAATGATGTTTGTGATTGGGAAGTGTTTGGAGTAGTTGCTATTGCAACCATCTTGTCCTTGCTATACCTTGGGGAATTGGAAATACACAGAAATTTTGGTGGGCAACCCAAAGATTATCCAAAAGATTAATCTGTCTTTGTCAAATTGACAAAAGTAACATAAAGCCTTTTGTGTCTTACATTTCTCTTGGACTCACCTTAGTGCAAAGACCATGTTGGCTAGACTCTTGTTGGCTCTGAAACTGAATTGGCTCTCAGGCAGATAACACTTAGCAATTTGATATATTAGTTTAGAGTGCTGAGCTGTTATTTAATATCAATCTTCTAATATGGCAGTGAATGCTATTTTTTTTTTTTTTTAAATTTCTAATGAAATTTTCCTGTTTCTTAATATACTGGTTAATTTTTAGAAGGCATTTTTTGTTATTCAAATGCATCTTGAGATTTCTATGTCACATTATCCATTGGTCTTTGACTAAATGTTCCTTGCTCAATTTTACAAAGGAGTGCTGGAAAACCATTTCCTAAAATTTGAATAAATGACCAACAAATAAGACTTTTGGTTTGGCAGAGCTGCCTTGGTGTCTGTTATATATTATGAATTACAGTATATCAAACTAACTTAATATAGATTCTTGGGGTAAAATGTAAATTTAATGTGTAAAATCTGAATCAAAAAATGTTTTAATGATGATGCAAGATGCTTTGAAGCAAAAAGGCAAATTCTATAAAACAAGAAAATTTCTCTGCATCTCATTTGAGGCAAAGGAAAAATTCTTTGTTAATGAGAAAAACTATTTTATTTTTTATATTTTGTTTTATAAATAGTGTATTCATTACCATTTTAGTAAGGAAATATTTTAGTGTGTAAATATACTTCTTTTTGCAGTGAAAATGGACATTCAAATGCAATATGGAAAACATAATTACTGCAAAGAGATAGAAAAAAAAAAGGATAAAAGAAAACTGACCAGTTAATCTGACAGTTATTGTTGAACATCTACTAAATAACCACACATCTACACCAACGATATATTCTCTGTTTTGAGTAAGTCACATTCAGGCTTCTATTTGAAAGTCCTAGAGATAATATATATCAAGTCTCTACAGCTCTTCCTCTCTAAGTAGAAGGAGTAACATTTTTTTTTGCTTCTGATGTGTGTGTGTGTGTATATATATATATATATATATATATACAATAAAATCGCTATTGGCTTCAACCATTGTTTCTAGATGACTTTGGAATCTCCTGCAACTCTTCTGGAGAGTCTCCTTGTTTAAGTTGGTGAATGCTGCCATAATCCTTGACAAGTTCATCTTTGGTATTACAAGGAATTTTGTTGATCTCTCACTCAACTTCACCCCATGCATAATAATCAAGGGGGCTGCAGTCTGGGGAGTTAGGTGGCCAGATCTAAGGGGTGATGCAGTCAAAGAAATTCTCTTACATCTATGACTGGGTTCTTCTGCTTGTGTGGCATGATACTGAGTCCTGTTGCCAGACACAGTGTCTTCCAGCAGCCACTCTCTTGACTCAGAGCAACACAACTTCCTCAACGCACTTGATGTAGGGTTCAGTGTTGAGTCTGAAGCCCTGTGGGAAGATGAATGGAGGCATAATGTCATCATCACTAGAGATCACTCCAAACACCATAATCAACATTAGACTCATCCAACTCTTTCCAAATCCTCTGCACTGTCCTTAGATTGACACTAAAACACTCTGAAATGTTCGTATTAGAGTTTCCGGTATGAATGCCAAGCAGTAGAACATGCTGTTTCCAAATTTTTGGCAGAGTGAATGGTGTCACAGTGCTGTTTTTTTTTACAGACAATGCCCAACTGAACCTATACTGTGCAGTTGACAAAATCAAAAACAAATGCACAAGTGTGAAATTTAAAATATAAAATGGCATCAATTTACCCATTGCTCCCTGTGTATGTATATATGTTTTTCCTCTTTGGGATTCCTGCCCTATTTTAATCACTGTGTATACCTTTCAGATTTCTTGATAGAGGTCTGAAGAGTGAGGAACAATAACGAGTCAGTTTTCTTTATTTTGGTATTTCTTTGAGCCAAGTGATCATGGGTTTACAGATGCATTGCAAACCAGTTTTGCACCTGCATAACTTTTTACATATGTGATACACAAAAGTCTTTTGGAAAGTCTTGAAATTGACTTGCTCCTCATGCACTCTCATGTAATGCATGACAACAGACCTGCAAATTTTATTACAAAATGGACATAATTACTGTGCAGATATGTCAAGAAGGATGTCCAGATTGTTAAACTGACAATTTTCATGCAATCTGAGATGACTAGTAAATCTGACACAATATAGAACAACCTTCCTGCAGATGTTACATACAATCTCAGACTGATTATCTTCCATGATTGAGTTTACATCAATTTTTCTTAGAGCCCATTTCAACTTTAAATGCTCAATCCTTTTGATCCCAAAGCAATTGCAACCATTCAAAAAGTAGATTTCTCTAACAAGACTTATTCTCTACCTCTGTTGCCCAGTTTCTGACACTAATTTCATGAGTTTTCAGGTTGCCTTTAACAGAATCCTTCAAACATTTCTTGGGTTGGTGTCTGGGGTGCTTACCAAGATCGAGCTCTCTCTAAAACAGGTGCTTATGCAATCTCTTATATCCCATTCTCCTGAGATGCTCTGCACAGTCCAGTTGATTGTGAATGAGCAGTTTCCTTTATGCGGGGTGTTTTAGCCCATTGCAGGACAAATGAGTCTGGTGTAAGAGCCTATCACTTGATGTTCAGGATATACCTATGGCACTTTTGATGAAATTTTCTAAGATTTTGACATGATGGTGATATATATTCAATGTCTTCAAAGCAGAGTAGTCAGTCTTAATGACAAGAGAAATGTCTCTATCTGACCAGATCAGTTTTTCAATCTACTGAAAGCTTTGCTTGCTTTTCTGATTCTATGATTGATTTTGGAATCCGAAGAACTATCTTTAGCAAGAGTAAAGCAAGATAAAGCTATGAACAACCTTGAGCCTTTGACTCTAAACAAAGATGTTAGGTTTGACATAGCATTGCCCTGGTGGGTGTATGTACATAACTAATCTCTTTTATCCTGATGGTTAGCCCAAACACACTGCATGCTCTCAAAAAATTGTCCATTATTGTTTGCATACCCTTTTTAGTATGAGCAATGAAGTCTGCTTTGTCAGCCTAGAATAACTCTTGAATAACTGACAGGGAAATCTTTGATTTAGCCTTAAGTCAAGTCAAAGACTTTACCAGTGTTCATGAAATGCAGGTACACCCCAAATTCACATTCTTGAAAATCATACATTATTTTATATTATTTATTATAATATATTTATATTATTGTTTATTATATATAAATACACAAATATCACCGCCATAGCTAAATGTATGTGTTTCTAAGTGCATGAAACCAGGTAAGTTCACAAAGATTTATATGTGCACATGATATATATTATATCTATGCACATGAATATTTAAAGAAACAGTAAATAAAAAAAAGGATGTTGTTAAAAAAAATGTTGCAATATGAAAGTGAATAAATAAGTTCATAGATGCAATAAGTTGAAATTTTTATCTGATGCTTTCATTGTTTTTCATGTTTGATTAACATTCAACACAGTGCATTGACAGGGAAGGAGATTATCTTGAAAAATAAATATCTGTTATGTAAAATAAATGCTTTTTGATTTATTAGGCTGATGTACCTAGACAAATGTGGAGTTCATACAACAATTCTTCAAAAATAAGTCTTTTTATTATTTTATATACCATTTTGCAGTCCATTTTCTATAAATTTGATTTGTTGTGCTTACAAACATTTTCTCAAGTAATTTTCCAACCAAATGGAAACAAATATTTGGTGTTTGTTTATATTACTTAAATGAACCTAGTTTATATGGTGACCAATGAAGTTGAAGGAAGTTGTTCAAAAATGAATCAATCGACAAGAAATTCTAAACCTGAGCAGTAAAATGGGCAGGCTCAGTCAAGTGTTGTTCCTCTGCACATGTGTGTAAGAGGTTAAATTGATGAAATTATATTTTCATAATTTTATATCCTCTTCCTGTTATACATTACACTTAAAAATGTTCATTTGTCTTGATCAGAAAAATATTTTTTATACAGTAAATCTTTTAAGTGATTGTAAGTCATTAAAATAAATCAATAAGATATTAAAAGTTAAAACTCATGAGATTGGTTAAAAAATATTTATTGGGCACCATAAAATCTGGCATTGTGCATTATATATTTCCAAGACAACCACCCCAATTCACATACCAACACAATGGATTACTGAAATTATAGATAGTTTCAAAATCTATATACATACATACATGCAGAGTGTATCAAAAATACTTTTACAAACTTTGGAGGCAGGTTCCTCACACCAAAACAATGACAAAAGTTCATATAAATATGTCCACAAATCCTTCATTTTTGAGTTATTAAGTTTAAGGAAATTTTACACTAGATGGTGCTGTGTCACCATTATAGACTAGGTTACATTTGTCATGCATGTACATGTATGGCTAGTCTGTAGTCAATGTTTAACGTATGTAGTAGTGAGTTAACAAGAGAAGTGTTCCATTTAACAATGGCAGGATATCATGAGCAGGCAAATATGATTTTCACATATGGCTGCACAAATGGTAATGGATGCTCCAGACTGAAGACAGCTGAGTCATCCAACCATTGCTGACGTTTATCATGCTGAGTCAGTATCCATAGCACCACAAACTACGGATTAAGGAAGACATGTACACCTGACAACAAAGAATACATTCTACAGCCTGTTGGAAACAATCCAGATATCAGCACATGTCAAGTGGCCCTAGCATGTCATACATCTCATAGTGCTGCATGGAGGGGGGTACTTCAAGAGCAGCTACTGTATATGTATCATTTGCAATATGTACAGGGTCTATTTACATTATCCTCATCTTCATTGCTATATTCACAATGTTTTGGCCATTGTACGCACCAGCCTTCTTCAGGTGATTGGAATTTTGAACTGAATACTTTATTTTGCCCACTGGGGTAGATTGTTCTAGTTCCACGTGCCATACCTCTTCCAGATGTCTCAGTTATTTCCCTTTGACTCTCCAACTTTTTTGAACTCACAACTGGATCTAACCAATGTCTTTATCCAATAGGCCATGTGCCCTTGAGGACATCTGTGTATGAAATTCTGGGACTTATAAACCTAACGTTTGTACAAGAGGATAACAACACTCAGAAAACAGCTTCAGAGATCTGTGGTCCATATAACATGATGACAATCTTTAAAAGTGGTTCAACACTTTGCAAACACCTCTTCTGAGTAAGACCTCCCATAGAGGAGATCATGATTAAGGACTGTGTGTACACCATCCCATGCAGCTGTGGTAAGAAATATACCCTTCTTGTACCCTTCTATCCCAGTTTGTTAGAGCTGCTGTTACCAACTCGGGGTAGTTGTTATGTTGTAGGGTACTGCTTAAACTGACCATTTCTTGTTCATATGTCTCTGGGTCGCCCTGGTATAATACAGACTAGACACCAACATCAGTTTATGATTAATGTGTGGGCTGGAATTGTAGGTGACTGTCTGATAGGTCCATATATTCTCTCAGCATGTCTTTCAGGAGCTGCCTACAGGGACTTTCTTTCAAAACACTTCCAGACCTGCTAGAGGATGTATCCCCTGCTAATACAAAAATGTATTTGGTTCATGCATGAAAGGGCTTCAGCACATTTTAGTCACATTGTTACCTATGCACTGGTTAACATCTACCATGAAAAATGGATAGGTAGGGGTGGACCAGTTCCATGGCCTGCATGTTCCCCGACCATAAGTCTTTGAATTTTTATCTGTGGGGTCAAAAATGAAAATTTTTCATCCTTTAATAGTCAGTTTTGCTTAATTTAATTTGTATTTTATATAAATGTAGGTAGAAAAAAAGCAAATGTTGATAAGATAGTGAGGATCACAAAGCACTGCCCAGCCCCCACCCCAATCAGGTTTGAGGTTAGTATGCACCAGCCCTGAGTTTGTAATATATTGTAATAAAACTCATGAGGCAGAGAGAATATTCATTTTTAATGTAGATTTTATTAGGCACTATAAAAGATTAATAACAATAACTTATATTAAAACAGAATAATTATAACAATATACTCTAATAAAATTGATTAATTCATTTTCTATGGCTTATCAACCCTTTGCAGGTTATTTAAAAAGAGAAAATATTTTTAGATTGTAAAAATTTTTGTTTTTTGATATTATAATAATTTTAGTGATACAAGTTTTACTAGTTAACCCATAGCTTGGGGTAGATGAGGTAGATTCATTCCTTCCTAAAGGTATTTGCATGTAAGTGAATATAACGAACTCAACTGGAATTGGAACCCAGCTCTCCAATTAACAATTCTGAGCCATTATCCATTATGACACATGTGCATCAAAGCTTACAGCATCAGGTATTCCAAAGTGGTCACCCATCCAAGTACTGAGTAGGCTAAACATTGCTTAACTTTGAACATAAAGTGACCAGTGTTTCAAAATGATGTGAGAGAAGATTCTTTCTCAATGTAGATCTTCCGCTTATTTTTTTTCTTTATTAAGTTGAAAACATCTTTCATGTTTCACCTGAAGGAAGCACTTTACAGCTTATCTTTTAAATAACAGAATATCCAGCATTATTATCCTTTGGGACTTTTATTAGAGAACTGTTTATTTCTAGGTTTGACCCCAGGTCACTGAAAGCACAGGAGTAGATGGGAATACGTAGAAAAAAAAGAAGTACTTACTTTTAACTTTTGTTGGATTTTCTCCGTATGAATGTTGCAGTTGAGTTTCTTCATGAGTTGGATGACAGCATTTTCATTAAGGACACCACTCTTGTCTGGATCAGCTGAGTCAAACATTTCTTGAAGCCATATGAGATAGTTAAGGGCCACAGCAACAAGAATTAAAAAAAAACTAACAAATGCACATGCAACAAAATAAATATCAAAATAATATAGCTGACAACTAGGATCAATTAACTTAGTATTAAGCAAGAAGAAAGGACTATTTTTTTTACTGTAACAGAACAATGCATGGTTGTCAACAAAAAATACAATCCAAAATGTGAGCTATACATTGGGGATGTCAAAATCATGCAGGTACAGAAATTTAATGATCTGGATAGTGTAATAACAAAGACCTATCGGAATAGAGGAAGATGCCTTTCAGAAACTAAGCAAGTTATTAAGATAAAGGGAAATATTGTTAGAAACAAAGAAATAGTGTTTAACTGTGATGTAATAGGACAGTGAATGCTACACAATCTCCTAACAGATGAAGAAAAAACTTGAAGTGACTGGAATATTCTACTGCTAAATACTGAGAATATTATAGACAGAACATGTAAGCAATGAGAAAGCTTTAAGAAAAAAAGGGACTACAAGAATTGTTGTATTTACACTTAGAAAGAGAAATTTGAAATTTCTGGGATGCATAACAAGTGGACCAAGAAAATTTAACACTCACAGGACATAAAGAAGGCAAGAGAAGCAGAGAGAAACAGTGAGTGACCTATTTAATGAGTGTGTGTATGGATTGCAGAACAAGAGCAAAGACTGATGGTAAAAAGAAAAAGTTATTTAGAGCAACAAAAGATAGGAAATTGTGGTGAGTCATGATTGCCCATATCTTAAAGGGACATGGCACATAAAAGAAGAAGCGTGATTATTATAAATTTTAGAAAGAATGTTAATGGAACAATATATTTATTTGATGACACTATGAACAATAGGGAGGATCAGATCCCAAAACTCTGGTAAAAGAGGTCATAATTCAATGAGTCAAAAATCAGTTTCAACATCAGAAAATGTTGAAAAAAAAATTCACATCACAAAGAACAAGCAATTCTCTGGTCCAAAATAGTGTTCTTTTATTGGGATAAGAAAGGTTGTGAATGGTCACAATTGGTAGGGAAGCATAAACAATTATCATATTTCAAGGTCTACTAAAGTCAACTCAATTTTGATTGTGAATTTCCTTCTTGACAACACAGAAAACACAAATTCTTTTTTGAAGCAAGACTTGGGTTTCTCCTTCAACACCACAGAATATTTGTCAAATATTACTACTTTTTCAATAGTATTTGTTTCAGCTTATTTCTCTTGTTTTTATATCAGCAGCACAAAATGTAGTAAAGTTCTCAGTTTTCCCATTATTACAAAACATGAAATTTTTTTTAATCCTTCTTTCGTAAGGTCAAGAAGCTTTCAGCACCCCACAGTCCAGGGACTGTCTTCTACTAACTCCTGGTGAACATTACTGTCATCAAAAGAAATGCTCAATTTTCTTTATTAACAAAAATGGGATAGGTTTTCATAAGGAAAGTTTTTTTAATGGTCTTGTCATTCATTTATAGAACAAAATGCTTTATAATAAAACCTTGTTATCTTTATGTTAAAGTACATCTTTCTTTTCTTTTTTTTTTAAAAAAATACCACATTCCTTCTGAGTGTAGGTGATCCCAGTACTTCAAAGATTCCCTTTCTGTTATTTGTGAATTGCCATACATTCTTGGGAAAGATAGTGAAATGGTTTTTGATTGGTTCCTCCACAGTTGGTCCCTTGCCAACCAAGAATAAAGAACCCAGTGAGCTTTATAGCTAATGGAGTGGTTTCCTGTTACCTTCTCTGTAGTTTGTTATTTAGAGTTGTCCTTTTCTTAGATTGGACATAACTCACAGCTACAGATCACAGTTTGCCCTACTATTTAATAAATAGCGGGTAGGGAGAATAGATACCTTCATACTTCTAATAGCATTAATGGAAAAGTGAATGCAACAGACTTGATCAGAATTAGAACTCTGCATGGCAGTTTCACTTTTCATGCTGATATATGTTATGCTATCCACACAAAAGTTCATTACAATGTTATTAATATTTATTAAAGAGGAACAACAAACTGCTGAAGCTGTTTTTGTTTTACTTTATTGTTATTTATTTGCTTTTTGATATTTCCACTTTATGGTAATGTAAATTTTTTTGTTATTCTTTCCTATTGTTTCGACATGTCTGTTTTAATTATAAACTTCTGTATCTCCTTTAAAATGTGGTACTTCTTATAGTTTGGTTTGTTTTATCGCTTATCAAACTCAATGGGTTATTTAATGCTGACAAAATTTTTATTGCTTATTTTTTTTTTCAAAAATGTATTACTGGTAATTTTGTTTAATAAAGTATTTCTGGTATTAAAACCTATTTTTATACTTTCATAATATTTTGACCCAAGTTTGGGTGTTAACTATTTGCCCATAGCTGGGACCTTAACAGGTGCTACCACCCCAGGTCAGGGCGAACATGGGAACACCAGCAGTTAAGAGGTGGTTCTATGTTCCTCAAAACCTTCTGAACAGAGGCCTTGCTGTTGGATGTAATTTATCGTCATACCCAGGATGGCTTATTTTTTATGAAAAAAACCCACAATACGTTCTATTTTCATCAACTCTGCAGATGAAATATCTGGAAAATGTTTAGTGCATATTTTCAAAAAATGACAAAAAATCAAGTGATTAATAAGTTTTTTGCTAATTACTAATGACGTTCTTCTTAAAAAGTTAGAACATTAAATAATTTAAAAAAATAAAAAAAAAAATGTAAATTTTCATATGTATCATGTCATATTTTTCAATATATAAAAGGTGCAAAGGTTAAGCCAGAAGGTGACTGCTTGCACTTTTCTGCACAAACATCATGAATTGTGTTTACAATCTACAAGACAATTTAAAATTGCCCATTGATTTCTTTTATGATGCAGTAAAATGTAAATATGCAGAAATTGTTATTGTTGGTTCATTATTAATGATTTTGTGGGGATTACGTCTACCTTGTCTGCCAAAATGCCCACCAGGTGACACTGCTCAGAACTATAAAAGGAAGAGACAACAGACCCTCTTTCTCTCTTTTTGCAGAGATGGAGTAGCAACAACATGGAATTTATTGCAATTAAGAGAGATTTCTTCCCCAGGCAAACCAACTCATTAATTGCAAACAAACCACATGCACAATACAGTATATAAATGTTTTTTGTTTTCCTTTTTGGAGCTATCTGTACACCTATAATTTTCTCTTCTTGTGTGAGCTATATTGTGTTTGAGCCAACAGAAATGTGGTTCTACAGAAAGATGCTGAGAGTCCCATGGACTGAACATGTGAGTAATAAAGAAGTTTTAGAGAAATGGAAATAAGAAGGACACTTAGAAAGAAACAACTGAAATTTCTTGGACACACAATGAGGAAAGAGAGCTTAGTGAATCTGACACTCACAGGACATACTGAAGGCAAGAGAGAGAAGAAAGTAGCAAATAACTTATCTAACAAGCTTGTGTAATTGGTTAACACAACAGTGATTAAGAGAGATAGCAAATAGACAAAACTTGCTTAGAGTCACAATGGACAGGAAGCTGTGGTGAGCCATGATCATCCAATGTTATGATGGGACTGAGCACAAAAGATCAAGAAGAGACTTGAGACAACAGGAATGTGGTTCTACAGAAGGATGACCAGAATCACATGGACTAAACATGTGAATAACAAGAAAATTTTAGGCAAAATGGAAACAAGACACTTCAAATCAGAAAGTGATAGTTGAAATATCTAGGACATATAATGGGGAAAGAGGGCTTGGAAAATCTGATACTCACAGGACATACTGAAGGCAAGAGGGACAAAGGAAAGCAAAGAGTAACCTACCTAATGAGCTTGTGTAAATGGATGGCAGAACTGGAATTGGGAGAGACAACAAAGATACAAAACACAGTAAGAGCTGCATTAAAAAAAGAAAGAATAAAGTCTACCAGTATTTTTCGATATACTCTAGATTTCCCAATGATTAAAATCTCTTATATAACGACAACAACAAAAGAAGCTTATTTCACCCCCAAGCAAAAAGAAAAAAAAATTGCAGTCAATGAATATCCAATGAAACTCTGTGCAAGCCAATCATACTAAAACCCCACCAAAGTGAGATGGAATGAGTCAGCTCTGCAACATTACCAACCTTATTTGATTGAAAGAGCTAAAAGGAAGGAAGGAAGAAAAGTCCATATAGATTTATATCAATGCATGTACTGAACTGACTGCTAGACATCAAACACTTGTAATTACTAACTGACCTCTTGTTCAATTATTCTGCCTTTTGATGCAATATTAAAAGCCAAGTAAAATGCATTTTCATCCTAGTTTTTCTCCATTTTAAAAGAATTGATCATCTAAGTATTTATGGACAAAATTGGAGAGATGGATATTTTATAAAATGAGAAAAACAATAAAAAAGTCATTTATCAACCTGGCAACAACATATTTTTGTGCATAGGTATTTAAAACCTATTAATTCAAGCAGGTAGAAGACAACAATTTCTTTTAAATCTCACCTGTTGCAATATATGCTGTAATTGCAATTCAACATTTTCAAAATCTAAGCAAAAAAATTAGTATAGTTTTGCACAAAGTGATTTTTTGGTAATAGTAAAAAAATAACAAGGGAAATATCTTTTTAAAATTATATTTACATATTGCGTGACAATATTCTTAACCCACCATAGTTTTTGAACTTCATCTTGACGAAAATGCGACAAAAAGTAACAAAGACAAACATATAAAAAGTTATTTACTTTATAATGATTCATTTTTAGATGATATTTACAGATAGAATTATTAAACCTAATTTTCTATCAGTTAGGTCAAGTTTAGGACTGGCCTGCTACTGGAAACATGCAACAGTACAATCTGCTGTATAGGCAGGTGTTTGGTGGCAAAATCAGCTCCTCCACCATCTTTTCTGGTGGTGAGGAGGGCAGCATGTCATTCCACAGGATGTAAAACAAGACCTGTCAAATGAGTCTTTTTTAGGAGCCAATGGCAAACAAGTATGTGTGTATATTATATATATATATATATATATATATATATATAAATGAGGAATGTGTTATTAAAGACTATAGAATTTTTCTGTTTAATAATCTTTCTTTCGATTTTTTTCTTATTTTCTCATAAGTTCCTGTGTATTTGGGTCTAAGTTGTTGAAAAAAGACCACAGCTAAACAGTTGGCAAAACACCAAGGACTTAGACCCAAAAACAAAGAAACGTGAAAAAGCAGGAAAAAAAATGTAAGAAAGATTATTAAATGGAAAAGTTTCATAGTCATTAATAATACATGCCTCAGTAATGACATGATGTAAAAAAAAAAAAAAAAGAAAAAAATGTGTGTGTTTTATATATATATATATATATATATATGAGTAACAATGGTAAGACAATATCAAGATGAAGATACCTTTGCCACTAATGTCTTACCATTATGTGGGAGGTTATTCTGTTGCTAAGTCTAGGATGGGATCTCAAGCCTTGAATGGCAACCTTCCTTCATCTGAATAATTCAGAATGATGTGTTATTATTTTCATTTGAAGTATTGTCCTTATCTCTGTTTGCGTTATTACACTGTTTCAGTCATTGTGTCCTCAGGCCTTCTTCAGTTTAAAATTCCCTGAACGTTACCTGGATGGACAAGCACCTGAAGAAAGCCAAAATGTTGTGATAACAACAAAGAGGATGACAATATTCTATCAATATTGTAGCTTAGCTATGAGAATTTTACTTATTTAACTTGTAATACTAAAAACACTGTCATATTGAAAAAGAATGAGCTAATAATCAGGTGAAAAGTGAACAAAAAAAACAGCAAATAAAAAATCTGTGCACATTTTTTTTAACTGAAGACAACAGAAAATATATAAACAAAGAAACTCAACAAAACTCTTTTGCTGTCTGCAGCAAAAGAACAATATCATCAGCACAGTACTTTCTTGATTATCCAGACACCTTGGGACAAGGGTTGAAAAAGAAAAAAATATTTTTAGATAATTCAAAATTCCAGATAATTGAATACCTAAATGATTGAAAAAGAATGAAGGAAAAGTCATTTTCAGAAAGAAATTTAATTTTTATATCATCCACAAACATTTTCAAACACTTTGTTCTAGGTTTTGTCCATCAATTTTTGTTTCAGTTTCCAGATGGCCTCACATTTTTCTGCCACCAACTCTCGAAGCTGGTTTAAAGCCGATGCATTTATATGGATAGCTTCTGCTTGAAAGCACAACCAACTTAAACATTTACCAATTTTATCAAAAGTTGAATATGGTTTTTTAAATTCTCAAAATGCTTGTCTGAGATGAAATATTACAATGGGTTTAGTTCAGATAATTAAAAAATGTTTGGATGAATTCAGTTTTTCTCTTCATTTCACATCTGGATAATCCAAGTCTGGAAAATCAAGGTATGATGACCAAAGAATTACTGTATTTCTCTTTCATGCCATTAGTATTGACTGATGACAAATATATACACACACCATCAAATTCAGCCGTCCTTCTGTACTTTGAAGATGTTCACAGAAGAAATTGAAAATACAAGAATTTTCAGGTGATCAGAATACATGTTGAGGAACTGTATAAGTGCTACAAGCAAGCAGAACAGAAAGTACAACTAATCCAAATACTCTCTTCAACCTTGGGGTTGGTATAAACAGTGGCAATAAAATAACTCCTGTAAATATGCTTACCACATGATGCTGCCATTGTTGCCAAAGTCAAATATTGTGTAGATACATCTCTTTCTGACAAATAAAAAATCCAATGCCAATCATAAAACAGGAATACTTTAGAGGTAAAGATTTTAATTATATAATATAGATAATTAAAACTCTTTTATTTGAAAAGCTTTCATTTTTTTTAAACTCTTTTGTTGAGTTGTCAGCACCCACTTACATCTGATCATTGGGATCATCATCCTCTTTCCCTATCCCATTTCTCTCCTCTGGTGGTGGTGAAGATGGCTGTGAATCAAAGAGTTTGATGAAGCCATTCATGTGAATTTGATTTTGGTGGACAACTCTGCATGATGGAGAAGCCCACACACTCAGCCAAAAGCAGTTCAAAGAGGATTGATACAGGTGTGATCTGGCAAACCTGGTTGTATTTGGCTGTCGGATGCTTGGCCTGTCAAGATGCACCTTAGTTGGGCCATCTTGTGTGAAGCCTGTGTTTTTTTCACTCTAAGTAAAACAGCACATTGTAAAAAATCCACTAACTTGAAGAATAAAATAAGCTCCAGCCTAATTTTCAAATTATTAATAATAGTGAAAGGTCAGCATTTGAACTTGTGGGAAAATAAAATCAATAAATAAAATAATAATAATAAAAAGAAAAGAAAAAGAAATACATTTCCCATAATGCAAAAGTAAAGGAACTGGAAATATGATTACTCCATTTGGCTTTGAAAAACGCTGTTAAATGTGCTGTTGAAGTCTATAAAAAGGCAAGTATTTCCTGTCTCACTCCCTCTTTCTCTTTTTTGCTCCAAGATGTAGAATCACATGGTAATTAAATTCCCACTGAGGAATGTTAGTTTCCCTCATTCCACTCACAGCTGAACTCTCTTCTAACTTTCCAACACATTGCAGGTATCTTCCAAAACCTTAACCTATGAAGGAAGTCATGCTTTCTCTTTAGTTATTCCAACTCAGTGCAAGGCTGACTTGAGTGCAACCATTATAACAATTCTTATACTACCTTACCCTAACCTCTGGACCAAGAAAAATAAAATGGATATGGCATAAATATGTTTAAATCACCAAGTGATAAAGTAAGTACAAACATTCCTTTGGTTGTTCCAACTCTGCACAAGTTTGACTTGAGCTTGACCATGAATATGATGCTTATACTTACTCCAACTTCTGAACTAAGAAAATGGGCATACTGAAGAAACATTGAGAATTTTCCTTCATTATGTAAATATCTTTAGTAGAAACTTAAATTTTTGTATGCTTCTTTGTTTACCATATGTGAACATGTATACACTCAAAATATACACAAACCTACAACATTTCAACTTCCATACACTGACTCTGACAAGGATTTCAGTTTTGTATGTATATTTTTTGCATTTGTTTAAAAAAAAAAAAAAAAAGAAGAAAATCATATCAAAAAAGAAGGCAATGTTTTATTTTGTTTTAGCGCATATCAACCTCAGTGGGTTATTTAATGCTGAGAAGATTTTTAGGATAGGTTTGTATGAATAGAATATGTATTTTTTTCAAAAATGCATTGCCAGTAATTTTTTAAAAATGTATTACTGGTAATATTTTTTTTTTAAATGTATTGTTTGTATTTTTTCTATAAAAATCTATTTTTATACTTTTATAGTGTTTTGACCCCAGTTTGGGAGATAACTGTTTGCCCATAGCTGGGACCCTAACAGGTACTACCACTCTGGTTAGAGTAGACCTGGGAGCAACAGCAATTAAGAGGTGATTTCACACTCCTCAAAACCTCCTGATTAGAGACCTTGCTGTTGGATGTGGTTTTTTGTCATACCAGGACACTAAAAGAGGCGGCGAAAAATAATGATTATTAATTGCTCCCTGAAATAATGATAGCTTTATTTTGTATAAAAAAAAGACAACACAATTTTATTATCTATATTTCAAGCAAAATAAACAAATCCTTTTCTTTTTATCATAAATATTTCTGCACTGTATTAAAAAAAAAAAACCTTTTTTTTACTGTTTTACTTAAGTGTAAGCATGCATATTCAAAAAACATTTTTTTTATAATCATTTCACCCCAAGTAAGGTGGGAATGCTACTAATACACAGGGAGTGAAAGAGAAAACTGAGAAGAATGGAGGATTAAGAAAAGTACAAGAGATGAATGTGATTCAATAAGACAGAAGATGAAGATTGATGTTAGATTTAAATTTTTGAAGAGTGTAGTTATCAGGAATGCAAGTAAACAGAAGGGAATTCCACAGATGTATAGTGCAAGAAAAAAAAATCAATTACAGTAGAAGTGGTGTTTGCAACAGTAAAAGGCTGAGACCAAGATGCCAATCTAGTAACACACTTAAATTCATGTAGTTGGGGTACCAGAGTTGATTTTAGTTGCTATACTGATAATGTTTCAGCTGTTATACCTTCCAACCTTCCTCAGGTATCTATTGTCATACTCTGTAACCTTTTTGGAATTTTGAACAAAACACTTTATTCCGTTCATTGGCATAAGTTGTTCTCATTCTGCTTTCCATTCCTAGGAGAGATAACTCAAACTACTATCCACCAGTATTATTGAACTTTGTGTTGTTTGTCCCTTTTGTTCACTGAACCTGAGTATATCTTTTAAGTACCTCGGAAAAGGTTCAGTAAATCTGCAGTCCATACAACATCAGGATACTATTCAAAAGCAGTTCAATCCTTTGGAGATATCTCTCCTGAACAAAGACCTCCTTGCAAGAAAACATGGCTAAGAATTGTGTGCATTGCATCCTATGCAATAGTGGCAAGAAATACAAGGGTGAAACCAGCAACCCACAAGAAATAATGGTGGAGGAACATCAAAAGTCTGTGGTCTGATGAATGATAGTGGAAGCAGAGTGAAAGGGAGGAGGAGGATTTGGACAGAGTGAGGTGGAGGAGGAGGATGACTTGGACAGAGTGAGGGGTCAGAGGACAACAACTGGCACAAGGTGAGAGAGATAATGATAACTGGGGCAGACAGAGGGGGAGGACTACGACAATGACTGGGGCAGACAGAGGGGGAGATTGACGACAACGACTGGAACAGACAGAGGGGGAGATCGACGACAACGGCAGGGGCAGACAGAGGGGAGGATGACGGCAACGGCTGGGGCAGACAGGGGGGGAGGACGACGACAACGACTGGGGCAGACAGGGGGGAGGAGGACGACAACGACTGGGGCAGACAGGGGGGGAGGACGACGACAACGACTGGGGCAGACAGGGGGAGGACGACGACAACGACTGGGGCAGACAGGGGGAGGACGACGACAACGACTGGGGCAGACAGGGGGAGGACGACGACAACGACTGGGGCAGAGAGGGGAGAACGACGACAACGACTGGGGCAGACAGGGGAAGAACGACGACAACGACTGGGGCAGACAGGGGAAGAGGACGACGACGACTGGGGCAGACAGGGGGAGGAGGACGACGATGACTGGGGCAGACAGGGGAGGAGGACGACGACGACTGGGGCAGACAGGGGGAGGAGGACGACGACGACTGGGGCAGACAGGGGGAGGAGGACGACGACGACTGGGGCAGACAGGGGGAGGAGGACGACGACGACTGGGGCAGACAGGGGGGGGAGGACGACGACGACTGGGGGCAGACAGGGGAGGAGGACGACAACGACTGGGGCAGACAGGGGGAGGAGGACGACAACGACTGGGGCAGACATGGGAGGAGGACAATGATGACTGGAGCAGGCACAGAGAGAGGACAATGATAACTGGGACAGAGAAAGAAGGAGGACAATGACAACTTGGGCAGACTGGGGGAAGGAGTATGAGAATTTGGGCTGACTGGGGAAAGAGGACTATGACTTGGGCAGAGTGGATTATTCATACTGATTTTTTAAATTTTTCTCAGAAAACTGTTGCAATATAATGTTCTTATTTCGGATTTTGTTTTGTGTCAGATTAAGAAACAGCAAGAAGAAAGAATAACAGATGGAGCAAATGACTGGTTGAATTGAATCTTGTCAAATGGATATCAAATGCAGTAAAAAATCAAACAGAAAATAGATGAGATAAAAGGATATGCTGGTTTGACATAATAGAGAATAGCATTGCCATTATGAAAGCAACTGGCAAAGCCTTTGTTCAGTAGTAAGCTTGCAATAACATCTGCTTATATACATACACAAAAGAAAATGGCATTAAAAATTTTTAACAAAGTAGTTTTAATTCAATCTGCCAAAGTTTCAGGAAATGATTTATAAAACAAATGTGTAATCTTGGCTTATAAATAAAGCATACAACTTGAACATGCATTGTAGAAACATTTCAAGCCTCTTGCTGTTCTATTGCTATTTTTATGGCAGATGTTTGGGCAAACTACATTTCTTGGTTCCACCAGTCCAGACCTTCCCATTTAGGAGCCACCAGGCCATGTACACCAATTTGAATCATCCTTATTTCATTTCTATTCAATTGGCAAGGAGGAAGTTCCATTCAGATAGCTTCTTCTCTATAACTGCTGTGAACAGACTCCTGAGAGGTTACTTTGCCAATCAGTACAATATTAACCTATTCAAATCTAGAGTCAACCACTATATATCCTACATAAGCTCATAATATGCTCCTACTGGACATCTGTACAACAGTCTCATTTAGTAACTCTCTACTTTGAGTGATGCTTGGTTATTATATTGGGTGAACAAGCATAAAAAAGGTTCAGATCAAATTTGTATCAGTTGAGACAAATGATTCTACAATCTATATGGAGCTGAACAAGTTGTTTTAAGTTTTCAAAATTTCTCAACAGACTAATTTACATTCAAGGTTAGTCTTACATTAGATTTTAAGGTTATACTTGGTCTTTGATTTGAAAGTGAGGCTCAAAATACAAAAGAGTAGAAAAAGGATATGAATCTCTCATTTGGTGTAGTTCATCCAGGGTTTCAGGAGCTGAAATAATAAGAAAAAAAGGAAAGATGAGAATACTTTTAAATGGGGTTATACATTCATAAATGTAGGTATCATATATATAACAGAATCTATATAATGGATTACTCTGGAGCATAAAAAAAAACATTGATTATTTTCATTGCTCTTAAATTCAGAACCTGACTGGATTATCCATTTGGCTGGACCAACTGAAAAAAAAAAAGAAGTTAAATGTCTCTGTTTACTTCCAATCATGTTTCAACTGATCAATCAAGACCATCTCTCACAATCTCAGACAATAATTCATAATATCCAAAGTGAATTTGATATTTTGCACAAGCTTGGATGATATTTGAGAATATAATTGATCATGAGATTATATTACTTAGAACTTCAGATAAAGTAAGTGGAGAATAAACATTTCAAAAGGTCACACCTAAGAAATGAAGCAGGTGATGCTTAGAATCAACTCATATATATATATATATATATATATATATATATATTAGATATGTGCGTATGTATTCAGATACTGAGCTTGTTTCTGTGTAGCTTCAAATCTGAAGTTTGTACAAAAAAGTCACAACACTGAGAATTTAGTTGCTAAATATCATATCCCCTCTCCTCATTAATTTTATTACTAATTCTTAATTAGTGTTCCAACTTTTAATTGTTACAGTATCATTAAATATATATAAAATATAGTTTTATGGTATGCCATATTTATGAGTTAGTGCTCAACATCAGTGATAGAGTATATGTAAAAATAAATATAAAAGTGAACATTGAGGACAACACCCAGAAGTGACAGTCGTGTGTGTGTGTGTATATATATATATATATATATATATGAAAGAAAAATACAGAAAAAAAACAAAATTCTGAATATGCATTATTAATGTTAAAATAAAGTCGACGTCGGACGTTTCGGTCTATTTAAGACCATCTTCATGGACATTTTCATTTAAACATAATTAACATTATAACTTATAACAATTTAACACAAAAGACGATGGACATAAGAGCCCAACTAATTCAGACAGATAACTGAAATTTTATACAGATCAGCGTTCTGTTTAAATATGATCACGTAGTCGCCACGTGGGCGATGTTGTTAAGACGTATTCAAGATGATTTCCAAAAATTAAAATATCAAAAAGTCGAATGAAAAATTTTTATAAACAATTAAAGAAATCTCTTCCGTTGATGTTGGAATACGTAGTGATCAAATTGGTTCTTATATCTTCAACAAGCTTGAAAGTCTTTCCCGTTACAATGCAAATCCAAAAGTGATTTTAAAAACGATGGAACAGTTCTAAAAAACAGTTCGATAAAAATTCCATTCTTTAAAGGAAAATTCTTTAATTCCATTGTAACGGGAAAGACTTTCAAGCTTGTAATAAATAATAACCATGGAATATTAGTGTTTGAGCGTTTTATATTATATTCTTACTCTGTCCTGGACATTGAGTTATACTTGGATTCTATTCTCTTGGGAATTTATTTATATTATATATATTTCTGAGATGAGGTATTGTAAGTATTTACACTATTTACATTGTTTGGACGATTACCTTCATCTTTGTTGGCATATTCATGACATTTTGGCCGCTGTACACTCCAGCCTTCTTCAGGTGATCGGTTCTGCTATATTTATAGGCTATTAGGTGATTGGTAATGCTATATATAATCATCTATATTTCAGAGATGAGGTATATTTTAATAATTTACATTATTTACATTGTTTGGACTGTTGTCCTCATCTTTGTTGCCATATTCCCAATGTTTCATCCATTGTATGCTCCGACTTTCTTCAGTTGATTGGAATTTCAAACCAATCACCTGAAGATGGCTGGAGTATATAATGGCCAAAATGTTGTGAATGTGGCAACAAAGATGAGAACAACTGTCTGAACAATGTAAACATTTAATATATAAAGTTATGAAGAACTTGGTAATCCGTATGGGTAACCCCAAGGAGGATGAAATCCTGAGAGCTCAATGTAAATCCAGAGCTAATATTTTAAAGAAAAACAGACCACTTTAAGGTACCATTATAATAATTTATTTCACCAGAGTCGGATCATCAGATAGCACTTCCAAAAATGAAATAGGTGATCATGTAACTTTCAATACATGACTGAGGCAGATTTTTTCATGCAGTGTCATTTCTTTCTGCGGTAGACCAGTTGCCATCCAAGGCTATAGAACCCGGTCTGTCCTGCTATTTACCCATAGCTGGTGGGGGAGAAGAAGCGTATTCATACCTTTCATGTAAGTGAATGTAATGGATTTAACTGGAATTCGAACTCGGCTCTTCAATTTCTCAAAGTCAGCCGATATCCATTATTCCACTGTGCCTCCTCTAAAAAACACTTTTCTTAAATCTGACAAAGTTTGTTTACATTTTTCCAATTGGTGTATATTGTTGTTTCACATCCAAATCAAATTTATGGAGGAACTATCTAAAGTTCATGTTTTGATTGTGTACTTTCAACTATTGCTATTCCTTAGCAGGAGGAATAATGTTACCAATGTCACTTAGATAAGTTTTTATTAATTTTAACATGGCATTTTTAAGAATGCTATAATTCTAATTTAAATATATATGTATTGGGTACAAGTGATGTCATATCAAGAATGTTTTGTAATTATAAGTAAGGGATATTAAACTTTTTAAAAATTCATCTGTGGCCACCAAACTTGTCAACAACTGTGGACAAAGATAATAAAATTTTTAAACACATTTTAAAATGAGTTTCTCTATAGTGAAAAACAGTCTTAAAGTGGGTTGTTTCTTTGATATAGCTTCAACTATTTTGATCCTTTTTTTTTTACATAGAAGAGAGTATAGTATTTTAGTATTATCTACTAATATTTGTCTGATATGAATAGTCATATTTTGGTTGTGTGTAATATGTTCATTGTCTACACTAAATTAACTTCTGAAAGTGAGTGATGGTTATGTGACCAATATAAGAATTTAATATTTTTTATTATTAGTGTTGGATGAAATCTCCCAAAAGTCCAAGAATTCATAAACATTGTTTTTACATGAAAGTAATTTTAGAGGTCCTGTGTTATTGTATTTTTGTAATAATGATAAATTATAGGTACTTATTTCAATCCTTAAGTGATATATACTGACAATATTTTTAATGGTCTTTTCATCTTGTTTATAGTTTGAAATCACCTAGTTATAAATAGAATAAATTAATGGTTTTTATTCATATTGGAATTGTTGTTCAAGTTATTTTTTCAAAACTTTTTAAAATTACTTCTTTTTGCTCATCAAAAACATTCGTTGTTAAACTATTGTTAAAGTTTGTTTTATTTTACTCAGTTCTTTATAATGTGAATAAAGAACTTACTTTAGCACAGTTGATTATAGTATAATAGCTATTTTATATCCAAGAGGGCATTCATATTAAAGAATACAAGGTTTTGCAAGTGTTTTCTTTTTCATGGTAAATAGTAAAATGACTATTAGAGTCTGTTAAAACATCAGGAAAAGAGATCCTATTAAGTTCATAAGTAAAATGTAGAACAATTTTTAAAAAATTTTCATCTGTTTTTCATTAATAGGAAAATATCATCAATATGTCATAGGTTTGGTAAAATTGTTAAACAGCCTATTTTTTAAGTAAGCCATGGAGAAATTAAGTAGGATTAAGAGGTGATCCCATATCTATACCATCAGTCTGTTTGTAAATGTTACCATATTGGTCATAAAAGTGTACATGTGTGGTATAATAGAGAAATAATTTACAAAAAAAATATTTATATACATTTCATATTCTACCTATAATTTTTTGGACAGGGTCATTAGTAAAGAAACTTTCAACATCTAACAAAGCAAGGATGTTATTATTACACTTATCTGAGGGTAATATTTGAAGAAATTTTTAAGGAGAATTATTCCTAGATTTATTTGGTGTCTATGGCAGGATCATGTTAATTAATAGTTTTTTTGGTATTGTGAAAATAAGAATTTCTGAAATTATGGGGTGCAAAGGTGAACCAGGCATAAGTGGATTTACATTTTCACATAGGTTGTGGGGTAATACTCATCCACAATTTTGTCACATATGATTTTGATATTATAAGCTATATTAAGTTTATCTATTTCTTGAAGAGACTAATAGTGTTTTTATTTACTATTTTCAAACTTAATTTTTTGTCAAGGGCCTAATTTTGAATTGAAATCAAGCCTATTTAGAATAGAAAAACTTAGATTTATCACTAGCAAAACTTCCTGGTGTTGCCTGGGACAACAACTGGAGAGATAACTGTATCACAATGATCATATGTATACAAATCTGATATTTCTTCATAGCCAATGAACATTTATATTAGGTCTAGGTGAGAATAGTGAAAGTTCAGGTAAATTTTTCAGTAAAAAAAGGAATACACATGAGCACATTGAAAAGTTTTGGCCTGACTAAGAAAAATTTTTGTTTGGTTATTTGATCAGATTCTAGGGAATGGGACAGGTCAAGAAGTTTTCGCAATTTCTTTTTAGGAGCACTTCATTTTATTGTTTTGTTTCTGTTGAGAACAGAAACTAATGCCGGGCAAAAGTTTTTCAGAACAGAAATATGATTCATGGTTAGAAATTTATTTAACACTGCTGTCATAGATTATAATAGTATGATAGATTGTAATGATATGACAGCATGTACTGCTATGATAGATTGTAATGATATGACTGCATGGAATGGTATGACTGTACTACTACATTGTAAAAATCAATGTTAAAATGGGAATAGACTCTTTAAGTTAATGAAATGAAAGTTTTTGTTCTAAATTGAATCTGTGAACATTAGGCTATTTTTAATTATTTCTCTTAAATGTACTAGCAGGAAAGTGAATTTGCTTTTTGTTTCAATTGTGATTAATACATTCAATTGGTCCCAATGGATAAATAAGGCCAAGTGACTTGGGCCAGTAAATGAAAACATAGAGATTTTTTTCCCCAATTAGCTTAAGTTTGAACAAAAGTTCAGTATTAATGTTCTTAA